CAAAATCTGGTTGCAGGGAACACTTCCAGTAACTACACGGTTTTCCTCAGTTAAAAACCAAAACAAAAAGTGTTTTAAAGGAAAACTGCATTTCCAGGTGTTCCTGGATCACAATTCCTTTAAAAATTATGACCAAGGTTCTGTTGCTGCAGTCAAAATTAGATAAGCAACTAGAGTGGGGGCTGCAGGAAAGTATGGGCCATTCCCAAGTAAATGGGATGAGATTTAAGGAAGATCTGTAATACTTTCACCCATTATTCTCTTTTCATGATAACACATCTTGGGCAGAGGGTTACTATTTGACCCCATAATACAAGTAAACAGCCACGCCAATCAGCAGTACTGAAAGGAAAAAAAAGGCAGTGAAGTGGAGGTTAAAGAGGAGGACAGAGAGCACAGCGTTAACCATAATGGAGCAGGAGATCACAAAAAGTCTAGTGATATTAGTACTGTGTTTCATGACCACAGACATAATCAAACCATTCAAGGCTTGGCTTATAATAACTAACAGTATCCAAAATGAAAAGCCTTCCAGAAACCCGGCTGCTGAGCTGCTTGCCAGATGGATAATCATATTCAGTATAACACCAAAAATGTAAAGAAACAGATTTTGAAGGTTAAGAGGCAGGTCCTGGGTCTTCAAGACAACTTCAGTATAGACAGCAGATAGGCCGGAAATCAGGCAATAAAGCAGGATCAGCAGCAGGCCAATGGGAGTAATGTGCAGCTGCATGTCAGAAGCAGGCAAGTGCTTCGGGTCCTGTAGGCCTCCATATGTATAGAACGCTCCAGCAGCTGTCAGTAGGGAGAGAGCTAGCCACTTGCGCAGAGTCAGTCTTTGGTGCAAGAAGAGACTGAAAAGAAGGGCAGTACTTCCAATTTTCAAGTTGCTTAGCACCTGAAATGTACTAGGATCCATGAACAGTTGCAGATGAACTACTAAGTTGTTGTTGGCTGCGTACAACAAAGCTGAGAGAGCAAAGGGAGCAGCATGATACCATGACACTGAGATCCTTAGTTGTCTCCAGTCCCAGATTAGCAGGAAAACTAAGGAGAAAACTAATTTTGTTAATTCAATCAAAACTACCACAGAGGAGGCACTGAATGGGATCTGGCCATTCTCTTTACTAAGAGTCAAGAGTGGAGCATGGGAGCCATAGATAACAACTGACAGGATCAGCATCAGGCCCCATAGAACCTTCTCAGGCACCAGAGCAGCAGCAGGGCTCACCAGATTAGCAACGGTACAATAACCTTTGTCCAATAACATTTCTGTGATGTGGGGAGACAAGTGGAGAACCACTCTATAACTTTTTTTTTTAGGAGAGGAGAAATGGCAAGTCTTGGCCTTTTAATATAATCTTCATCGAGGAAAGTTCATGACATGTTTAATGAGTAAGATCAGTAAAAGAGTAACTGATGGTGAGATGTACTTGTCAGTTTAGTATATATGCATGATTAAGGGGGAAAGGATAACAAAAATGTTATCTGATAGGTTCCAAAGTCTGAAGCAGAAAAGCATAATGACCTAACAGCTGCCCCTAATACCATCAGAATGATAAATACATCAGCTGATAGTCTAAGACTATCCGAGTCCCAGCATGACTGAAAAAGGAACCACATCTTTCATGACATAATGAATTGAAATTAGTTACAATCAGACCTGCTGATATGTCGTAATCATCCAGTATATCCACTTTCCTAGTGAATATGAACGCTGAAAAGGGAGCCAAATATTTATGACCTACACAGAGTTGAAATAGTTGATAAATTCTAAGCTGAGAAACAGGATCCTCTGGAGTGTATCACTGCATGGGGAATTCACTTTTAGTCTGGTCCTTTCCTGAGTGAGTTGAAGTAGTCTTTGATAGTCTTTTCCACATTAGGAACTGCATAGTTCTGAGCAGCATACACGCCAGTACATGTCCCCACTAGAAATCCCAGAACTGCTGAAGATCTGAGTTTGGCTATGACATACCCAGCAAGAAACCCTTTGAGAAATGGAGAGGCCAGCAAAGAACCTTCCTGCAGAGAAAGCAAATAACAGGCAGATGAAACTGACATTCAAATACAACAAAAATTCAAACAAGATATGATCTCATTGTTACCATTTGTTATAAAATGGTTATGACCAATGCAAAAGTTTTTTAAAATTTATTTTTATTCTGCCTTTCTCCCAAAAAGGGACCCAAGGCGACCCACAATATAAAAACACATTAAAACAACAATTAAAACAACAATTAAAATAGCCTAATTGTAGGGCTTTATAGATTGTGACCAGCACTTTGAATTGCAAAGAAAAAGCCGGTAGCCAGTGAAGCTGTTTCAATACAGGAGTTACATGCTCCTTATAATTGGCTCTGGTCAACGTTCTAGCAGCAGCGTTTTGGACCTGCTGAAGTTTGCAGCTTCTGTGGAATCAGATGGAAAGGAGAGACAGAGTTGGGTGTCATCCCAAAACTCTCCCAGTAGTTTTATGTAGATGTTAAACAACATGGGGGACAACACAGAACTCTGTGGGACCCCACAAGCCAGCGGCCAAGGACAGGAGTCCCCCAGCACCACCTTCTGGGTCCAACCCTCCAAGAAAGACTGGAACCACTGCATAGCAGTGCCCCCAAGTCCCATCCCAGAAAGGTGGCTCAAAAGGATACCATATTCGATGGTATTGAAAGCCACTGAGAGATCTAGCAGGACCAACAGGGACACACTCCCCCTGCCCAGGTCCCTGCATAGATCATTCACCAAGGAGACCAAAGCTATCTCTGTGCCATAGCCAGGTCTGAAGCCAGATTGAAAGGATCTAGATAATCTGTTTCATCCAGATATCCATGGAGCTGGGAAGCCACCACTCGCTCCAGAACCTTGCCCAAGAATTGAATGTTAGAGACTGGTCGATAGTTATCTAGAATGGTGGGAGGTCTTTTTCAGTAACAGCTTCACCACAGTCTCCTTTAGGAAGGATGGAAATTTACTTTGCTGCAGTGAAGCATTCACCACTCCCTTTACCCACTCAGCCAGTCCCCCTCTAGCTGATTTCAGAAGCCAGGAGGGGTTAGGATCCAGTATACACGTGGTGGCCCTCACTTCTCCAAGGATCCTATCTACATCATCAGGCTGCACAAATTGAAACTTATCCAATAATATGGGACAAGCAGGTGCTAAGATTACATCCACCAGACCTGTCTCAACTACAGCACTCAAGTCAGAGTGAATCCAAACAATTTTGTCTGCAAAGTGTCTTGCAAATTCCTCACAGCAAGCTGTTGAGAGGTTTGTTTCCTTCTTGGGGGCCAGAATGTAAAAGCCCCCTGACAACTTGAAACAGCTCCGCTGGATGATACTGTGCAGACGCAATGGTGGCAGAGAAGTATAGTTTCTTTGCTGCCACCACTGCCACAGCATAGGCTTTCCAGTGAGCTCTAGCCCACGTTCGGTCGGATTCACTCCAACTCTTCCACCATCATCACTCTAGTCTCCGTCCCACTCATTTCATCACCATCAGCTCCCTGGTAAACCAGGGGGGCGCATCTGGCTCCGTGGACGCTTAGGGGCAATCATGTCTACTGCCCTGGCCATTTTCCTATTCAAGAGATCAGCCAGGGCTTTGACAGGATCGCCTGCCATGGCAGCAGGAAACTCCCCAAGAGCCATCAGGAATCCATCCTGATCCATAAGCCTCCTGGGGTGGACCATTTTAATCAGTCCCCCACCCCTGCATCGGCTCTGAGACCCAGTGAGTTTAAACCCTATCAGGTAGTGATCAGTCCATGACAACGGAACTACAGAGAGTTCCTCCACTCCCAGATCACTGTCATCTTGCCCTGAACAGAAAAAAAGTGGTATAATCTTGTCACCAAAGGGGGAAATATATGTATTTCTCGTATTTCAAAATGGGAAATTATAACTAAAATACTTTTTTGGGGGGAAATACTATTTTACTCTAATGTTAGGACAGACATCTCAAACATTATTATTGCCTTTTGGGAGACACAGATAAATAGATAAGAATTAAGCAGTTCAAATTTTACCTGTCCAACTCCAGCCTGCACTTCATTTTCTACTCTTTGTTTCAGGCTTTCCAACTGATCCTTCAAAAAAGCAAGATCTTTCAGCTTTGGTACAGAGTCCTATACATTGGAAACAAACACAATATATTGCATATTGCATGCACACATGCATTTTAGTATCTTTGTTTCAGAAAGCAAAGGCCAAAGAAAGGCGGTCCAGCAATTCTAATTGTATTTCTAGTATCTAAAGCTAGTGTTAGGTCTTTAGCTGTCACTGCAGTTACTGCAGGCACTTCGTGTATTTTTTACTCTAGATTCTTTCCCAAGAAGTTAATGCCAACTAGTTGCACATACTCTTATATCACAGTTTAGTCATATGCTATTGAAGCATGGGCAATTGAATTCACTAGTCACTAATTAAATGAGACCCAGTGTAGTGGTTTGAGTGTTGGGACTATTATGCTGGAGACTAGGGTTGAAATCCTTGCTCAGCCATGGAAACTCACTGGCTGACCTTGGACAGGTCACACTCTCTCAGCCTTATAGGAAAGCAAAGTCAAACCTCTCCTTAACAAATCTTGCCAAGAAAACCCTTTGACAAGCTCGCCTTAGGGTTCCCATAAGTTGGAAATGAGTTGAAGGCACACAACAATAACAACCAAATAATACATATGATATTGAAGGTACAAAATAACAACCAATAGGTATAATAAGAAGAGGCTTGTCTCGCTGAGCCATCTTGAAAAGAATGGGTCATGGGACTCCAGATAGCTTTGCGGCAAGACTATAGTGGGGAAGAGGATAAGCAAGGGGTGCTTGGGAGATAAGGAAGGGATAGCCAGCTCTTGAGTTTTCAGGGCCCCTCTGTTCTCCTGGCAGCCTTGTTCCAGCCTGAGCTCTTTATGTATTTGCACAATTTTCTGTATAACAGTGAGGCTATTATCTCCAGCACTTGATTAATGTCTGCTCCCCTCACACACTGGTATGAAAGCCAACATGGTGAAGTGGTCTGAATGTTAGACTAAAACTCTGGAGACCAGAGTTCAAATCTCTGCTCAGCCATGGAAATGCACTTGGAGACATTAGTGAAGTCACACTCTCTCAGCCTCAGGAGGTAAAGGCAAACCTCCCTCTGAACAAATCTTGCTAAGAAAACTCTGTGACAAGTTTGCCTTAGAGTTGCCATAGGGTGGATATGACTTGAAGACACACAACAACAGATAAATAAGATTTTTGCTATTTAGACTTCAATTGAACATCTTTGGGACCAATCAGTAAACTTCAGATTTTTGAAGAAAATTGCTGGGTTTGTTTTATTTTTCATGAAACTTAGTGTGAGACAAATTTTAAGGAGTGAAAGATCTTGAAGCAAAAAATATTTCACTGAATATTAGTTAGGATTGTACATGCCATTGTATTTCCCACCACTATGTGTGGATGTGAGAGCTGGAAGGCGAAGAAAGTTGAAAGGAAGAAAACCAACTCATCTGAAATGAGGTAATGCAGAAGAGTTCTGTGGATACTGTGGACTGCTAAAAAGACAAATAAATGGGTCCTAGAACAAATCAAGCTCAAACTCTCCCTAGAAACCAAAATGACAAAACTGAAGCTTTGATCATATCATGAGAAGGTATGACTTACTAGAAAATACTATGATGCTTGGTAAGGTAGAAGGCAGCAGAAAAGGAAGAAGACCTCATTCCAGATGGGTAGATTCAATCAAGGAAGCTGTTGTCTTAGGGCCTTAGTTGCCAGAAATAATGCAGCTTGAGGCCACTTTAACTGTCCTGGCTCAGTGCTAGGGAATCATGGGAACTGTAGTTTATTATAGCACCAGAGCTCTCTGACAGAGAAGGCTCAATGTCCCAGAAAAAAATACAGTTCCCATGATTCCCTTGCACTGAGCCAGGACAGTTAAAGTGGCCTCAAGCTGCATTATTTCTGGCAGTCTGTAAAGGCCCTTAGTCTGTAAGACTAGAACAGGGGTACTGAGAACAGGGAGTCACAGAGATCTCTCATTTATAGGATCACCATAAGTCAAAGTTGCCTTGAAGGCAGCTGTTACCACTTAAACTTTTGTTTTCGTTCATACTGTAAGTAAAATCATTATCAACAACCCATGAACAATGGGTATTTTTCCTAGTCTTTTTATAACTAACTGTCATTGTCTTAAATGAGTAAAAGAAAAGATTACATGGACAGGTATTCTAATCTGGAAAGAATGCTAACATAGAGTCAATATGATTACATTTTTGGGCTGCTATAAAACTAATATTCAGAAGCAAAGTCTTACTTCATCTCCTTGCAGAGTATGGTAATCTCCAACATAGTTCAGAGCTATACAAGCAGAAGTAAACCATCATTCAGGCAGTTCAGATTTTTTACTTTTATTTTTTTACTTTGTTGCTGTGTGCCTTCAAGTTGTTTCTGACTTATGGGGACCCCATTCCGGGGTTTTCTGGGGCTGAGAGTATGTGACTCACCCAAGGTTACTCAGGGGCTGTCTGCCAGGCCAAAAAGTCTGTGTTCTTCTTGGCCTCGCGTTGTCATGTTTGGACAACGCAGGCCAAAACCCCACAACCAGGATCAGGCCAGATCCTGGCAGAATGGACACAGATCCAGTGGATCCAGCCTGATCCCAGGTAAACAGCCCTTAATGAAGGTCAATTTGACTCCTGGTTTGCTGTGGTGTTTCCTGGAAAGTCCACAGCAAACAGTGACTTCTTAAATGACCTCCATCTACTCCTTACCTTTCTACGTTGCAGCTCCTACTGGAAAGCCCCTTTTCATTATGTCTGATGCAGACATGGGATGTCTGACCACATGGGTGCACCCAGACACCCCATTTCACAGCTCCTACTTAGAAGCCCCCTTTTATTATGTCTGATGCAACAACGATGAGGGGGGACTTCCCAGTAGGAGCAATAGCACAGAAAGATAAAGAATGTGTACTGGTAACAAGCCCCTAGGCCAGTGTGAGGATAGGGCCGGCTTGAGGACCAACCCCAGTGAGGACCTGGGCCAGAGCAGCATGGGTTCATCTCATTTTTTCCTGGCCCATCTGCTCTGTGCCTCTTGCAGACTGCCAGAAATAGTGCAAATTGAGTCCACTTTAACTGCCCTGACTCAGTGCTAGGAAATCATGGGAATTGTAGTTTATTGTGGCACCAGAGCTCTCAATATTTGATAATTGAGGTGAAGGCTCAATATCTAAGAAAAAAATACAATTCCCATGATTCCCTAGCACTAACCCTAACCCTAAAAGTGGACTCAATTTGCACTATTTCTGGCAGTCTGCAACCCCCCTTAGTTTCGATGGCTGAACAGGGAATCAAACCCTGATCTCCAAAATCGTAGTCCATACTCAAACCACTACCCCACACTGGCTCTCTTTCTTAATCAGTTTCTATCCTATCTTACCAATTGATCAGGGCTGAAAAAGTAGTTCACAGAAACAAAATGCTTAACGTAATAAATACTACAAAGCAGAACAACAGTATAGTTAGAGCCATATTTGAAGATGTATATGCAGAGGCAGAAAAAAAAATATCCTCCAAAGACAAGATGAAACTGGAGGGCTCTTGCAGACTCAAGGCCAAAAGGCCTCTAGCAGGGCACCTTCTTGAAATAGGATTATAAGGTAGAGAAAGGCCTATGTCCTCTTGACCTAACAGTAACAAGGGCACTGTGTGGCTGAGAGGAGATTTGAATCCAGTCCTTTCCCAGTCAAGAGCCTGACACTTGCCATTCCCCAGACCAGGGGTAGGCAACCTTTCCCCTTTAAGGGCCGAGGGACTTCAGCTCCCAGAATCCCAGGAGCTATTGGCCAACATGGGACTATTGGCCAACATGGCTGAGGCTCCTGGGAGCTGAAGTCCCTCGGCCCTTAAAGGGGAAAGGTTGCCTACTCCTGCCCCAGACTGTATCCTAACACAAGTTTTGACTCCACTTGACAGCTGGTTTCTTGGTCCTTCCCTTGCTTATCCCGGACTCCTCCTGGGTGCATCCTCTACTTTCAAGGGCAGGGGCTGGTATTCTTCCTACACCTGTGTGTTGAGTACCTTCAACTCATTTCCGACTTATAGCGACCCTAAGGCGAACTTGTCATGGGGCTTTCTTGGCAAGATTTGTTCAGAGGAAGTCAGACATTGCCTTGCCCTGAGGCTGAGAGAGTGTGACTCGACCAAGGTCACCCAATGGGTTTACATGGCTGAGCAGGGATTCGAACCTAGGTCTCCAGCGTCCTAGTCCAACCCTCAAACCACTGTGTCACGCTGGCTGTGCGACACGTGTCTAGTGTCCTCCTAAGAGCAAGAGGGCCAGGAGCAACCCCCAAAAGAGCTCTCTCCTCCATGTCCATCCCCCCGTTGCCTCAGGCGCAGCCTAGACCTCCAGCTTGGCCCTCTCTTTCCTGGCCCAGGCCTGAAAGAGCAGGAGGCCGAGGGTGGGATTCTATGCGAGGCGGGAAAGGGCGAAAAGGGGCAACAAGACCGCGCCTTAGCCCTGAGCGCCTCTCTCCGCCCGGCTCTTACCTTGTCGTCCGCCATCTTCCTTGGCCAAAGTTACTCGGGCCCCCGTTCGCGCATGCGCGCCCGTGACGGAAACCGCGCGCCGGGCTTGTTTCAGCCGTTGGCTTTGTGGCGCGTGGCTTGAGGTCTTGCCATTCCCGCCTCTGTCTCCCTTGAAGCGGGAGCGACAAGAACAATCCCTGCGTGAGGGAAAACAATCATCGTGTAGCTGAGACTACGACTCAAAACACACTGAGGAAGTAATCCATCTTGAGACCGCTTGAATTGCCCTGGCTCAGTGCTAGGGAATCCTGGGAATTGTAGTTTATTGTGGCCCCAGAGCTCTCTGACAGAGAAGGCTCAATGTCTCACAAAACTACAGTTCCCAGAACTCCCTAGCACTGTTAAAGCGGTCTCAAACTGGATTATTTCTGCAGTGTGTTTTGGTCCTACGGCTGCATGCGCTCACTGCAGAATTAATCCGGGGCCACCTCCCAGAATTCCACAGTAAGGAGCCGTGGCAGTTGTAGTGGCTTCAAACCGGATTAATTCTGCAGTGCGGCGAAGGGCAGCTGAGCTGTCGTCCTCTAAAGTCCTCTCAAGGGTTTTGGACTTCAGCTCCCAGAAGCCCCAACCAGTTTGGCCAGAAGTCAGGAATGCTGGGAGTTGAAGGGCCTGAACAGGCTGCCAGAAATAATGCAGCTTGAGGCCACTTTAACTGCCCTAGATCAGTGCTAGGGAATCATGGGAACTGTAGTTTATTGTGGCACCAGAGCTCTCTGACAGAGAAGGCTCAATGTCCCAGAAAAAACTACATTATTTCTGACAGTTATCTAAAGCCCTCTTCATAAAAAGAGCTTTTCCTGTTGAGGGAAGGAGAACAGGAAGGGAGCCAACCTAAGGGGGGGTTGCAGACTGCCAGAAATAGTGCAAATTGAGTCCACTTTTAGGGTTAGGGTTAGTGCTAGGGAATCATGGGAATTGTTGTTTTTTTCTGAGACATTGAGCCTTCTCTGCCAGAGAGCTCTGGTGCTACAATAAAATACAATTCCCATGATTCCCTAACCCTAAAAGTGGACTCAATTTGCACTATTTCTGGCAGTCTGCAACCCCTCTAAATTTCCTTGGAAGGGAGGTCCACAATTTAGGAGCAGCCACCAGAGCTGACCCAGGGCAGGGTAGGACAGAAATCTGGTTAGGATTAGAGAATGCAATGGAGTGTTATAAGAGAGAGGACTCATAATCTGACTGTCTGTCTGGAATCCTGAACAGGAGAATTACAGTCTGGTTGGTTGTAATGTATGGAGCTGCAGTGTATGGTTGCAAGCCACACTTGTTGGTTGGACTGATTGACTATAATGGTGCCTTGACACCAGGAGCCTTTTCAATATCTGCTCACAGGTCCCAGAATTCTCAGCCAAGGAAGCCTTGGCTAGTTCAGTTTGTTTTGCCCTTCTGCTGGAAAAAAAAAAAGGCTTTTCTTCAGACGGACCTTGGCTTTTAAGATGCAGGCAGTGCATCTCACATGGCTGAAGTGAAGGGTCATGATAACAT